GAAAGTGTGGAATGTATGTTAAGCATGTTAAGGCTTAACATGCCTTACGGCTTAGCGCATATATATATATATATATATATATATATATATATATATATATATATATATATATATATATATATATATGCGCTATGTCGTACCTAGTAGCCAGAACGCACTTCTCAGCCTGCTATGCAATGCCCGATTTGCCTAAAAAGCCAAGTTTTCCTGAATTAATATATTTTCTCTAATTTTTTTCTTATGAAATGATAAAGCTATCCATTTCATTATGTATGAGGTCAATTTTTTTTTATTAGTTAAAATTAAAGTAGATATATAAACGAACCTAATCTATCTTTATAGGTTAGGTAGTCGAAAAACAATTGATGAAAACCTGACTTATTAGGCAAATCGGGCCTCGCATAGTAGGCTGAGAAGTGCGTTCTGGCTACTAGGTACGACATATATATATATATATATATATATATATATATATATATATATATATGTCGTACCTAGTAGCCAGAAGGCACTTCTCTCGGCCTACTATGCAAGGCCCGATTTTCCTAATAGGCCGAGTGATTTTCTTTATTTTCAATTTTTTTCCTATTGGTTTATTTTAAATTATTATATTAAGAATATAAATTATTGATTTAGGAATGTTAGTTTAGGTTAGGTTAAGATAGGTTAGGTTGATAGGGTTCGGTCATATATGTTAGTTTTGACTCAAATTTAAAAAAAATAGCTCATGCATAATGAAATGAATAGCTTTATCATTTTATAAGACAAAAATGAGATATTGAAAAATCTGGAAAACTTGGCTTATTAGGCAAATCGGGCCTTGCATAGTAGGCAAAGAACTGCATTCTGGCTACTAGGTACAACATATGTGTATTATATATATATTGTGACGATAATCTCTTTCTAGAGAGATTGAGCCTGCTCTTCCCTACCTCAAGTTACGTCAAATTATAAAAGTATAAGATGCTACATTAAAGATACGTCACCAGTAGCACAAAACGTTTTGACCAGGAGGCAAAACGTACCAAAGATACCCCCTACTCCACACACCCCCCACGTCGGCTTGTCGTCAACCAGCAAACTACTCATTCCAGCCTGCCTGCTCCTGATTGGCGACTCGCCGACCGTGCACCTGCACACTGCACCTCCGTGCCATCTACCTGAATCGACGTCGGAGCCTGACCAGCTATCAACTTCAGAATATTCTTTGTGCTCTTAGAATTGATATCTCTCTCTGGCATACAAGCTCATTGGCTTGTATACGAAGGGAGGTTTCAGCCATAGCAGATATTCTCAGCACCATTTTAACATTTCACTTTTGTAATATTGTATCTGACATTGTCTTTGCATTTATCTTTGTTATTTAACTTTATTTTTCATTCCCCCGAGATTTGTCTTTATTTTCATTTATGTTTAAAGTAAATATATTAAAGTTTCATTGTTCAGACTTTGTGTTTTACGTGTTCCTCCCTCTCGCTTACCACAGGCAAGCAGTCTATATTTTTGTTTTAAGTGTGACCAGGCTTTGACACCTGCCATTGGAGGACTGCCAAACATAAACACTCGAACACTTTCCCGTCACAATATATATATATATATATATATATATATATATATATATATATATAACCAATATGAAAAACATTGAAAATAAAGATCACTCGGCCTTTTAGGCAAATCGGGCCTTGCACATGTCCTCACCTCACCTCGCCCAAAAATTTTATATTGCCTCACCCACATGAAAGTATAAGTATGGATGTGTTCACAGGTTACAGTTGTGTGTAAACTAAAGTCTCTGAAAATGTAATAAGTTATTAAGAAACGCATTCAATCGACAGTGAAAAGAAACATAAGAAATATTGAGAAAATCTGTTAGAATTAATTTTACCTTTTCGGTCATATTTCAGAACACGCGTGTGTAATATATTTATATATATATATATATATATATATATATATATATATATATATATATATATATATATATATATATATATATATATATATATATATATATATATATATATATATATATATATATATATAATTATTTATTTATAATATTGTTCTTCTGTTCTGTGCTCCCTGTATTTTTTGCCCCCATGTTCTTAAACTGTTCCTTTTTGCCTCTTAAGTATTCTCTATTAAATCTTGGGCAATTTTTTCTCTTGCCTCCTTTATCACTGTAGGGGTGGCATAGATCTTTGATTCGGCGTCATTGCCTTGGTCAGTTATTAGGTCCATTATGTCTTGTGTTCTTTTTCCTCTTAGTTCAGTTTCCGTTCGTATTTTTTTTTCTTCTAAGAATTATCAGAGCATCTGGTATGTGTCTAAAAGGAAAGGTAGTGTTTCATTCCCCTCTTCTTCCACAGCCTTCATAACACTTAGTCAAAGACTAACACAATGATCACTTGCCCTCGTTGCATCTCATGCTCAATGTTCTCGATGTCCATTTGGCTTTGTGTGAAGATGAGAGTAAACTTTCAGATTGGTCTTACCCTGATCTCGGTGTCCTCCCTACTATGCTGAGCAGCTTCTATCAATTTGCTCTCCATGTTTCTTCTCCCCTTCTCAAAGCCGTGGAATTCCAGTGAATTTGCCATTTCATTCTGTAGAACATTCTAGAACTTTCTCTAGAAACACAAAGAATTAGGGGTGACATGATAAAGGTGTACACGTAGATGAAGGGACATAACAAAGGAGATACTAATATCGTGTTAAAAGTATGGGTAAATACTGGTTCGATAGGTAGGTAGGCCTTCGCATATACACACGCCTGCCTTCAAATACACACACTTGACTTCATCTAGACACCTGCCTTCAACTACTCGCATGGCTTTACCCATACTCCTGCCTTCACCTACATACCTGCCCTCGTTCTCACACCTGCCTTGAGTGAAAACTTTTCCCATGGATCCCTCACTGGATACCTCCCCTTCTCACAAAATGCCCCTTCCCGCTCCCCCCCCCCCTCCTACCGTCACTCCCCTTTTCCAGTTCCCGCCCACTGACGTCAGAGATAAGAGAATCTTCTGATTGGCCCGCGAGTTCTCGCTGCAAGGACTGGGGCTCGGCGACAAAACGCCCCCACTCCCTCACACCCCATTAATGATGCTTTTTACATGAACCGCGGCAATGCTCCCGTGGAAACGACCTATACGGCTGGCTTCACGAAGGTTCTTTAACAGATAAGTCTATCAATGACCTGGGAAGGGAACAGGTGGCCTCTGGCAGTATTATCGTCATTACAAACTTTTTTTTTTTTTTTCTTTTTTAATTCCAAGTACAAGAATACTGTACCCAAAGAACTTGCACCAGTCCTCTAGCTTAATACGTCGCATTTCTTACGGAATCGATGAATTTGTTAACAATGCTACATTTTAGTCTAATTTTTTTTTTATGGAGGGGCAAATAGAGAGAAAGTATTGGTTGACTCTTTCAACCACTGTACATCGTAAGTACAGCGTACGTCCTCCTTATGTTACAAAACTCCTGAAACAGCAAACTAAATAAAACAAGAATCTTCAATAATGGCTTTTATGTAAGTGAATACAGGAACTCTTGATTCATAAATTTTCATAGATTTGGGATGGCCCAAAGAGGTGAAGGTGATCCCAAGGCGATCCTATTAGAGTATGCTGACACCTGTCGTCGCCCCGACACCTACCCTCACTTGGCTGTCGTCGCCCCGACACCTACCCTCACTTGGCTGTCGTCGCCCCGACACCTACCCTCACATTCCTGTCGTCGCCCCGACACCTACCCTCACTTGGCTGTCGTCGCCCCGACACCTACCCTCACATGGCTGTCGTCGCCCCGACACCTACCCTCACATGGCTGTCGTCGCCCCGACACCTACCCTCACTTGGCTGTCGTCGCCCCGACACCTACCCTCACATGGCTGTCGTCGCCCCGACACCTACCCTCACATGGCTGTCGTCGCCCCGACACCTACCCTCACTTGGCTGTCGTCGCCCCGACACCTACCCTCACTTGGCTGTCGTCGCCCCGACACCTACCCTCACATTCCTGTCGTCGCCCCGACAGCCATGTGGCAGTGGCCCGTTACTGTACATTTCACCCTCTGATTGTGTACACTTCTCAGAATGTTTATATTAACTCTGTTATAGTGTTGAGGGAGCATTCAAAAAGGCATAGGATCGCCATTGTCGGTCTATATTTAGTAAAGTCTGGACAGTAACTGGATGAGTAATCAGCCATTCCCTTGGCTCGGGTAACCTCAACGGGATAAATGAAGGCCTCCAGTCCCTGATTAATTACCACATTTATACACTTTATAATAATGTTGGGTTATTTGCTAATTGATGTTAGCAAAGAAGAGACATGGCAGGATGTGCAGAATACCCCCGTTGAAAAGCAGAGGTGCAACAGGTACTCTTGAGTGAAAACTCTATCAACATCAGAGGCCCGAGACTGTTCAACACGCTTCCACTACACATAAGGGGCATAACTGGCCGACCCCTCAGTGTTCAAGAGAGAACTGGATAAGCACCTCCAAAGGATACCTGAACAACCAGGCTGTGACTCATACGTCAGGCTGCGAGCAGCCGCGTCTAACAGCCTGGTTGATCAGTCCGGCAACCAGGAGGCCTGGTCGACGACCGGGCCGCGGGAACGCTGAGCCCTGGAAGCACCTTAAGGTATGTTAAACAAAAAACGAATAGACCATCTTGAATTCTCACGAAACAAATATTTACAAGGTTGTAAATTTCATAAAAGTTTAACTATATCAATGTGGTTTAAAAAATAGGTGAATGTCCTTCGCTCCACCCCTCGCAAAAGCTCGTACTATTAACATATAACAATATAAAATTGTGTGTCCTTGAGGTGGTTCGAGGCTTGCCTGGGAACACAACACAAGCTGTCTCATCCCAACACGTGTGATTGTGCACTTACTTACCTTGACCCTCCTCCCCTCCCCCCCTGCACACACACACTCGTGGGGACAACAGCGTGAGGCCACGCCACATCAAAGTACCTTTTCCCGCCAATATGGGTCGCCCGCCCTGAGGGTATATTAGGGGGCGTCGAGACGGTAACTCATCAGTACCGTGCTGGTTCTTGCTAAGCAAACACACACACGCCATGAGATTGTTGCTGCCGCTCTCTCTCCTCGCCATCACCCTCTCTCTTGCAGGTGAGATGTGTAGACACTCATCTTTGTCCCCATAAAAATGTCTTGTTTATTCCATCATCCTCGTTCACGTAGTCACTCTTCAGCTCCTCTCAGACACTTATCCTCCATCCTCATATGCAATTATACCATTGTTTGTAATATACGTCGACATGTCTCTCGCCGTTTTGTAACTGTAATTCATATTATATAATGTTATATTAATGATTCACCCATATTTGATATTTCATCTATTTGGATCATGCACTAATTGAGATCACGGTATTGGCAGGCTAACAACGACTGATAGGATGCGTTAAAACGCTACATGATAACTATGTTGTTGACACTCGTATATTGACGGTAACCTCCGTCGTTACCTGCGTATCCTAATTAGTCTAATCACTTGATCGGCCTCTCCGGTCAGGTGATTAGAGGTTATCAAGCCCTACAACAGCCTAGTCTCTGGAGATTTACCTCTCGAATTTCCAGAGCCTAAGCTAATTACTTCAGAGCAACACACGCTCCCTTGAACAAGTTGCACAAATAGGTCAACCCACTGGAATAGAGAGCAGAGTCCCCTGCTTGAGGAAGTGTGATCGTCACCATGTTGTAACGCTCGTGATTTGTTCGCCGATTACTCAGGATGAAGAGCAGATCATGTCTTACCACCGTCATCTCTCAAATACGTTAACTGTCACACACTGGAGTGACAGGCCCTCCGGGAATCCACATGCCTCCCGTTCTCACAAGTCCCGGCTTGCAGTTATTCACTTCTCGACTGTTGCATGGCTTCCACTCACACTGGGGTCATTCAAGCTTCTCCAAATTGCAGAAGCTCGTAGTGGCTCCCAGTAGTGCCTCATACGGTCTTCCAGCCTACTCATACGGCACTCATAATGTTAAAAGTGTTATGAGAACTCGTAATGTTAAGAGTACCCTTTAGCATAAGTAGTCTCTCAGTACTCGGAGAGAGACTTGACTAAATTCCTCCATTGATGGGCACAAAATACCCGTAACTCATGGTAAACTCTACTAGTTTCCCTGGAACACAACCCACCAATTGGTATACAATTACTGTTTGGTAAAATGGGGCGAATAGGTCAGAATTGACTCTCAGGTAATCCCTCTCTGCACTCAGAGTTCGAACCCAGATGGCTTCCTGTCCCCGTCAAGGAACCTAGAAATGAAGACCATCAGATAAGTTCATGTAAGCCAATGAATTGGAAAAATTCAAATCGGGTTACATAAATCCATGTAATTACATTACAAGAAAAAGAAATGAATTTGATCGTTCACATTTTCCTGGTAATTTGGTTACTCCTCTCCCCTCCCTCTTAGATATGTACATACATCTGCTCATTATACACCTGTCAGCAGTAAATCTGATCAAAATTATAAACATTATTCAACCGCGACAGATTAGTCAACCTGTGTATGTGTAACATATGAAGAAAATTAATTAGTTGTGCAACCAATGCAGATTGAATAACTTGATAGACACGGATGAAAATAAGCTGGCAGAACCGAAACTTTGCTAGAACAGGCGAAACTAACCTAGCACAGTTCAAACTAGAATAACACAGACAAAAGCTAGGCGAACACTGACAAAACGTAGGCTAAAAACAGACAAACTAGGATAAACAGACCAAAAACTAGATTAACACTCAAACTAGACTAACATACTTATCATGAATAGGAAATACTTCAGTCCGCATAAAATAAGACACAAAGCCTGACATTGACTGTTACGTTACAGAGGGGGTGATGGTGTGTTACTACGGCTCCTGGGCGGTGTACAGGCCGGACAACGGCAAGTTTGACGTGGAGGCCATCGACCCCTTCATCTGCACCCACCTCATCTTCGGCTTCGCCGGGCTTGGATGGGACAACAAAATTAGGGTAAGAGATACATATGGAAAACGTTCAGTAGGTGTGGCGCATGTTTGACAACAAATATACAAAGTCAATTTTCATCTGTAATGCTAAATAATTTACAGGATTTGTACACTAAAGACTGTACAAAGTGTTCTTTACAAAGTGTATACATGTTGTGTACAGGTACTGGACCCGTACAACGAGCTGTGTGAGAACTACGGCAAGTGTGCCTACGACCGGTTCACCGCGCTTAAGAACAAGAACGCCGACCTTATTACCATCCTGGCCGTCGGAGGCTGGAACGAGGGATCCACCAAGTACTCTGATGTGAGTCTCGCCTGTTCTTCTTTCTTGCTAAACATGTCTTCATTTATAGGTCTTTTAGCCCGCCTTTACATATTTCTAAATGCTAAAGATAGTGTTTGTACCTGAGGGGTCCAGGAACATGGGTTCGATCCCATTGTAAGACCACTGTATTTTCTTAGATTCATTGCAATCTTCTGATTTTATTATGCATTAATCTTCAAACTGCACATATTTTAAAAGTATTAAACAGAGGTGCACATGTTTAACAAATGAAATTAAGAAAAATTGCAATAAGTGTTTGTAGCACGGTAGGGGTTAAAGGTGATCTAGTTCACTCCTTTTGCATTTCTTAAAGTAACTAAGTCAGTGTGTGTGTGAATGAATTCAGCCAAATGTTGTTCATATTCTCAATGTAGTAAATACTTTGTGGCATCCTGACATTCTTCCTTTGTGCAGATGGCAAAGGACGCGGGAACAAGGAAGATCTTCGTCGACTCCTCCGTTGAGATGTTGAAGACCCACAACTTCGACGGTCTGGACATGGACTGGGAGTACCCGACCCAGCGTGGAGGGAAGCCAGAGGACAAGGTATACCAGTTACATATCTACTGTAACATTAAATACAATGAATTATGGCGTATTTTGTTATATACATTTAACAGAATCTAACATACTTATCCTTATCTAGATTATTGAAGGTGTTAAAAAGAGACTGAATGGTCCAACTGACCCGAGAGGATCGTCTGGTAAACTCTGTTAGACTCTTAATGGATCACAGGAACTGACAGACAAGGCAGGTCTCCTCAGGAGGAAGCAACAGTATTGAGACGTTGTGTGTGTGTGATGTCCACAGGTCAACTTCATCAGCCTCCTGTCAGACTTGTACAACGAGCTGCACGCCAACGGTATGATCCTGACGGCCGCCGTGTCCGCCGGTAAGCTGACCATTGACCCCGCCTACGACATCCCCGCCATGGCAGAGAATCTTGACCTCATCAACCTGATGGCGTACGACCTGCACGGCGCCTGGGACACCTACACCCACCACCAGTCTGGCCTCTACCAGTATCCTGACGACACCGGCGACAACGTCTACCTCAACCAGGTCAGTCAACTGCCTGGTCGCTAGTACTTCCATGTTATACCGGCGACACAATTTTTGGTACTCTCCTACTCAAACACTCTTCTTATAAACACACATCTCTTACATATATGGGCACTGGGGAAGTTCGAGGTAAGAAAACTTACATACGTAAGTTTTGTTATTTCCCGAAGCTTATGTGATCCCAGACAGCATAAACCCCCATTTTAACTCTTGAGACTTGTAACAACCCAAATGCTTCTTTGTTGAGTTTACTAGTTTCACACCTGAAATGTTGCATCCTAATTAAACTACTCTTAATTACACCTACTCTTGGTACTTAATTACTCTTCAGGGAGTAATTTAAGCTCTTGTCCTGAACACGCGAGCACTTCGCTAGCCTTGCCACGCCTCCAGTGTCTTGTATCAGTTTTGTTGACATGAATTTATTAAAAGGGAGGAGGACGTTTTGCCTAAAATACACTACTGCAAGCCTGGGGGGAATTAATAATTATTACTATGTGACTTGACGCCAGAGGGAAATTACTGGAAAATGAGAGAGTAAGGATTAATGCGTCATTGCTGTTCTAATTTATTTAGCCCCGTAAACCCCAGGCCTATCTGTAACCGTAAACCCCAGGCCTATCTGTAACCGTAAACCCCAGGCCTATCTGTAACCGTAAACCCCAGGCCTATCTGTAACCGTAAACCCCAGGCCTATCTAACATGCTGGTAATACACTAATAAACCGAACAGGTAAAAAACACACCATTATATTTTCTTTTTCTGTCACATCTTGTTTATCATCTTCTTCCCATCCCACTTTACCGAAGAGTTCCCTAAAGGCTCTCTACTTCTCTCTAGAAGTCCACGAAGTCCACGACTTCGTAGTCGAAGTTTCTGGAAGGTCCATTAATGTCTTTTACTGACCTCTCCTCCAGCTTATTCACGTGCTATCTTTGCTGAACTTCTGATCTACATCTGCCCTCTACTTACAACCCACAAACACTTTTTTCTAATTGAATCTCCGTTATGAGGCTGACCCTATCAGAACACCCAACGGTCTCCCACCCGCACACTTTGGATTTCTGTTTACAATTACCTGATTTAAGTTTATCTGTGCGAACCTCTTCTTCATTTCTGTTCTCACATGTGTGCTCTGTCAACAATAACTGGAACAAATAACGTTGAGGAATATGCTGTGATTAAGACACCTTAGAGTAAATATAAAGATTCATCGCTCTAAGACACTTTTTGGTGTGTGTGTTTGCGCAGGACTTCGCTGTGAGGTACTGGATTGACGGAGGAATGCCGAGCACCAAGATCGCCCTGGGCGTACCCCTCTATGGCCGCTGCTGGAAGCTGGACTTCAACACTGATGAGACCGGCTACTACGCCCCGGCTAGCAACCCAGGACCCGCAGGACCCTACACCAGGAGCCCTGGCTTCTTGGGCTACAACGAGGTAAGGAACCGTTCGATCACTCGTGATGTTCAATAATTCAATTCTTGCAGGCTTGGTGATAGTGAGAGACTTACAATCTTTTCAACAATACCAGATGCCATAAAGACCCTCACACTTAACTCTCAAGTTTATCTGTTACAGATCTGCGAGTTCCAGAAGAACGAGGGTGACTGGGTGATAGAGATCGCGCCGGGCATGAACGAACCTTACACCTACAGCTACAACCACGAGAGGATCTGGTGCTCCTACGATGACCACGACTCTTGCGTAGTCAAGGTACAGGTCGATTCTTGGGTTCCCAGAGTAGATATGAGACTTTGTCAAGAAGCTGTACAGTAGACAACCGATAGTTGGAAAGTAAAGTAAATTTTATTCAGGAAAGTACATAAATAGTTGATTTACAAGATAATGTTGGATTTATAGATAAAGCTAGTACATACAATACCTAAAGCTACTAGTACGCATAGCGTTTCGGGCAAGGTGAGGTGGGGGAAAAATCACTTAGACTAAAACTTAATAGTAATTGAGCTTAAAGTATAAAGTAAAGTAAGAATGGCGGGGTCCAAGAGCTAAATGCTCGATCCTGCAGACACATAGTAAATATAAATAGTAAGCACACACGCAAAGGGAAGGGAACTATCAAGGGGAAAGTTCCAAGCCATTACGACTATATAGCACTTGGTAAGGATAAGGATTTGGGATGGGACGGGGGGAAGAAATAGTGCCCAGCCACTTGGACGGTAGAGGATTGAATGCCGACCTGCATGAAGCGAGACCGTCGCTCTACCCTCCAGACACACACACACACACACACACACACACACACACACACACACACACAGAAGAGAGTTTTTAACAATTTATAATTGCATTTGGTACCTCGGTAGGCCAATTACGCTAAAGAGATGAACCTGGCTGGTATGATGGTCTGGAGCGTGGAGACAGACGACTTCCTTGGTATCTGTGGCGCTCGCTCCTTCGACCTCATCAAGACGCTGGCAGAGACGTACAGTGGTAACGTCATCACTGTTCCCCCTCCACCACCTACCACCACCAGGGTCAGTGGTTCCCTCTTCGCTGGCTCTCCTAAATTTTCATCTCTTAGAAAGTTTGAATGTTTTTCTTATAATTCTTTAATTATGGGGTTTTCACTGGTTGATTTGTATAATATGGGAAGTTTCTGATTATTTTATGCTCTTTGAATGGAGTTTTAAAGAAATATCTAAGATTGTGTATTACTTTTTGAGTGACAAAATAACCTTCATAAAACAGTTGTCTCCCCTTAAAATTCTTAGCTTTCTCTCTGAATAAGCAATAATTAAAGAAAACGTGATAGAATAAGACTAACTATTCTAAAAAAGGAAACGCGTATCGCACGCTATTTGTGTTGGCAGAAATTTAGCCACAAAGGCATGTTTAATTTCTTAAGATACATACCATAATTCTAGATCTTTCTTAACATGCATCTCTCTCCTGCTCACCCTTCCCCCAGGACCCTGACGCACCCACCACTAGCAGCGTCAGCACCACCACCCCCACCACCACATCCACCCGCTCCCCGCCCCCTCCTGACGGCGTGTGTCAGAAGCCCGGCCTCAACGCTGACCCCGAGAACTGCCACCACTACTACCTCTGTGCTCCGGTGAGTGCCACCTCTAGCATAGTGGTCTGCATAGTCGCATCACAACCGAAAGGGGCCCGGGTTCGATTCCTGGGCATGAGGAGACGTTTGTGCAAATACCCTTATATCTAAAGCTCCTGTTCACCTATTAGTGAATAGATACTTAAGATACACTTAGGAAATTTGTTTTAGATACTTAAGAGTTAGGTAACTGTTGTGGTTTGCATGCTGAGAAAGGTCAGTAGTTGGCCGAGAGAAAGAGAGAGGACCTCGATAAGCCAAACAGGCTTCCTATTGCAGATAAATCAATATAAACGACTCCTAATCAAATCCCGTTCTCTGTGACTCAGAACACGAGCGGAGGCTACGACGCCACGGAGGAAATCTGTCCCCCGGGCACACTCTACAACCCCGACGCCTTCATCTGCGACTGGCAGAACTCCGTCTGCGCCCTCGGCGACGTCTGTCCGGACGACTGTGCTTAGTTCTGTCCGTCCGTCCGTCCCCCCGTGTTTCCGTTCTTTTGCCTCTGACTGGTGGCATATGTAAACGCGTAGCGCAGCCACAACGTTTTGCTGGACGTTCTTGCGTCGTCGTAGCTGCGTCAGAATAACGTGGTGGTCACGAAGTGTGTGTTCTTGTTGTGTTTGCTGTGACGCGCTTACAGAGCCTCTTTCTCCATTGTATACACTAGTCTACCTCTGTGTTTAATTTTCACTGAGGATGATAGCCACACCGTAAACCAGACCGTAGGTGGATTATACCCATTCGACCCCCCTCCACCTCCCAGTTAAGTTTCCTGAAGTATACCCTCCAGATTAATATATTGTAGGTGCTAAATAAATTATTATGCAAATCGGCTATTTAAATCTCTTCCTCTTTTATGTATAATGACCTAACTTTTTTTTTTTTTTGGTCTAGGCACGTTGTATTAGATTGATTTCGCACATGTAAGTTACTTATGCTTGAAGCTTGGTTGTACATGGATATGTGGGTGATCAGCAAGCCGAGTCTTGGGCTTAATAAACCGGAAATAGACGAGAAAGAGATTAACAGGTCAAGTAAGCTTAGACTGAAGCTTTTATATGCTGTTGTAAGCTTTAAGATTCATTGCAAATGCTGAACGAAGCTTTGTAGTCTTTATCTCTCGTCAGAGACTGCACTAAGCTTAACAGGTTCATAACGCAAAAGCTGCACTAAGCTTGACACGGTCATCACACAAACGCTGCACTAAGCTTAACAAGTTCATGTTGATGAATCTGTGTGAATCTGAAGAAGCTTCAGCTCCAACAGAAGGAATCTGTTGGAGCTGAATGTGACAAAGGCTGTTGGGCCTGACAGAATCTCACCGTGGATACTAAAAGAAGGTACAGAGGCACCAAGTGTGCCACTCTATGATGTATAACAGGTCACTGGAAACGGGAGACCTTCCGGAAAGCTGGAAGACAGCTAACGTAGTCCCAATATACAAAAAAGGGTGACGGGCAAGAGGCACTGAACTACAGACCAGTTTCCCTAACTTGTATACCATGCAAGGTGATGGAGAAGATCGTGAGGCAAAGGCTCGTAGAGCATCTGGAGGGAAATGGCTTTGCAACACACCACCAACATGGATTCAGAGATGGTAAATCGTGCCTCACAGGTTCAATAGAATTCTATCACCAAGCAACCCAAATTAGGCAAGAAAAAGAAGGGTGGGGCAGACTGCATTTTCTTGGCCTGTCAGAAAGCCTTTGACACAGTACCTCACAAAAGGCTGTTACAAAAGTTGGAGCAACGGGCAGGAGTAAAAAGTAAGGTGTTCCAGTGGATCAAGGAGTATCTAAGCAACGGGAAACGGCGAGTATCTAACATATGTAAACGATCTTCCAGAGGGTATAGACTCATTCCTCTCAATGTTTGTTGATGACGATGAAAAAATTATGAGAAGAATCAAGACAGACGAAGATAGACAGATTACAGGGCGACCTGAACAAGTTGGTGGAATGGTCTAGAAAATGGCTATTAGAGTTCAACTCGGGAAAGTGAAAAGTAATGACATTAGGCGAAGGGAGCAGAAGGCTGAACACAAGGTACCATCTGGGAGGTGATATCCTGCAAGAGTCAAATAGAAAGATCTGGAGGTTGATATCACACCGAACCTGTCCCCAGAGGCCCACATCAAAAGAATATCAGCAGCATATGCTAGACTGGCCAACATAACTGTCTTTCGAAACTTGTGTAAGGAATCATTCAGGATCTTGTATGCCACTTATGTAAGACCAATCTAGGAGTATGCAGTACCAGCCTGGAGTTCATACCTAGTTGAACACAAGACAGTTAGAAAAGATTCAGAGGTATGTCACCAGACTAGTCCCGGAACTGAGAGGTATGAGCTACGAGGAAAGGCTAAGGGAGCTGAACCTCTCGTCCCTGGAAAACAGAAGAGTAAGGGGGGGAGACATGATAACCACCTACAAAATTCTCGGGGGAATTGACAGGGTGGACAAAGACAAACTATTTAGCACGGGTGGAGGTTATCTTGAGGTTATCTTGAGATGATTTCGGGGCTTTTTAGTGTCCCCGCGGCCCGGTCCTCGACCAGGCCTCCACCCCCAGGAAGCGGCCCGTGACAGCTGACTAACACCCAGGTACCTATTTTACTGCTAGGTAACAGGGGCATAGGGTGAAAGAAACTCTGCCCATTGTTTCTCGCCGGCGCCTGGGATCGAACCCAGGACCACAGGATCACAAATCCAGCGTGCTGTCCGCTCGGCCGACCGGCTCTCCCCCCGGTCACGTCCCCCCTGGAACACGAACATTAGGACACAAGTGAAGTGTGAGTACCCAAATGAGCCACAGACATTAGACAGAACTTTTTCAGTGTCAGAGTAGTTAACAGGTGGAATGCATTAGGCAGTGATGTGGTGGAGGCTGACTCCATACACAGTTTCAAATGTAGATATGATAGAGCCCAGTAGGCTCAGGAACCTGTACATCAATTAACAGTTGAGAGGCGGGACCAAAGAGCCAGAGCTCAACCCTCCGCAAGGTGGTGTGGTCGACGACCGGGCCGTGGGGACGCTAAGCCCCGAAAACACCTCAAGGTAAGGTAACACAACTAGGTGAGTACACAGCCGGGCTCTAATCACCTCGCCAAACAAGCAACGTGTGGTTGTAAATGGTAGTTTCAGCGCGAACGGCTAACCATATTATCGCCTAATCACACCATTCGCCACGACAAAGGGCATTTTGCCTCACACACGCATGCAAGTACGCACATGTACACACACACATGTACACACACATGTACACACAGGCGCGCACACACACATCCGTCAGTGGTGGGAGGTCCCCCGCGGGCTATGGACATCCTTGCCTAGAGTGCTCGTCACCGTCTCAGGGAGCTGCTTCACCCTCTCCCCCAGGGTCAACTAGGGAGCCAGGGTGACGCTGTCACTCTACACTGGGCGGTGAGGCGAGTATTGTTATGGGTGTGTGTGGTGGTGGTGGTGTGTGTGTAGGTGGTGGTGTGTAGGTGGTGTGTGGTGGTGTGTGTGTAGGTGGTGTGTGGTGGTGGTGGTGGTGTGTAGGTGGTGGGTGGTGGTGTGTGTGTGGTGGTGTGTGGTGGTGTGTGTGTAGGTGGTGTGTGGTGGTGTGTGGTGGTGTGTGTGTAGGTGGTGTGTGGTGGTGTGTGTGTGGTGGTGTGTGTGTGGTGGTGGTGGCACGAGGTAGCTGGTGGTGTGTGTGTGTGGTGGTGTGTGGTGGTGGTGTGTAGGTGGTGTGTGGTGGTGTGTGTGTGGTGGTGTGTGTTGGTGGTGTGGTCGTGTGTGTAGGGGGTGTGTGGTGGTGTGGTCGTGTGTGTAGGGGTGTGTGGTGGTGTGTAGGTGGTGACACTTGTATTATGTGGTGGTGGTCCTCCTCGTGCTGTGATGGTGGTATTGTGATGATAATGAGATGAGAGTGATGAGTCTGATGTGTTCAGCAGTGAGGCACGAGCACCACGACCCGACCAGCAGGGAGACGAAGAATTACCAACACAACACCAAAAAGGTAACCTATCCTAGGCTTAACTATACTCTAAATGGTCGTACTCGACAAAATATAGTTTTTGGTGTCACAGTCGTGAATACGAAACATAAAACGCAGAGAGGATGAGTCAAGTGAACCATGAACGGTGACTCAGAAACTATGACTGAGATCTGAAATGATATTCGAGAGACTCAACACAGCCCGTCCTCATCAACACAGCCCGTCCTCATCAACACAGCCCGTCCTCATCAACACAGCCCGTCCTCATCAACACAGCCCGTCCTCATCAACAACACAGCCCGTCCTCATCAACACAGCCCGTCCTCATCAACAAAGGTCAAACATTCGTTAATCCAGCCGCCAAACCCTCTGTCTATAAATGAAAAACGGTTCACACACGACTCGCAACTGATGACGTTCGAACATTTCTCGAACAGTGCCTTGTTGACGACCTGTTTCGAATGGCAATTATCGCTGTAAATGCTTCGCCCAGGTACTTCAAGTACCAGTAAGGCCAACAGTATCTAAACACCTAACCTAAGTTAGGCCTAACTATTTAACACATTCTAGTCTACACTAATATATTTAATTTTTTTTAGAAAATACAAATATTGAGTAAGCAGAAAGTTAAAATTGAAGACTACGTCTTATGCCCGACTTGGCTGAGCCTGGCTGAGCCTGGCCGAGCCTGGCCGGGCCTGGCCGGGCCTGGCCGAGCCTGGCCGGGCCTGGCCGAGCCTGGCCTGAGGACATGAAGCCACAAGGCTACACAGGAGCACCACCACCACTAGGACACCAGCATGACGGTCTCCGCCCCGGACATGTACCATACAGGAAGCCTTCCCTGCTGGTCCTTAAATAGTCTTTGTTTCCAAATTGTCATTTCTGTAACTAAAATACCACTTGTGCACGTGCCAGGCGTAAAGAATATTTATAAAACCCTATGTCAGTATGTAATGTATGTACTCACCTAGTTGTGCTGCGCGGGTTGAGCTCTGGCTCTTTGGTCCCGTCTCTCAACAGTCAATCAACTGGTGTACAGGTTCCTGAGCCTATTGGGCTCTATCATATCTACACTTGAAACTGTGTATGGAGTCAGCCTCCACCACATCACTGCCTAATGCATTCCATTTGTCAACCACTCTGACACTGAAAACATTCTTTCTAATGTCTCTGTGGCCCATTTGGGTGTTCAGTTTCCACCTGTGTTCCCTTTTTCGCTTACCACCAATGTGTGTGTGTGTGTGTGTGTGTGTGTGTGTGTGTATATATATATATATATATATATATATATATATATATATATATATATATATATATATATATATATATATATATATATATATATTGTGTGTGTAATTTCATTAATGAGAAAGCAATTGTATTTCGTATATACATCTGTAATTGTACTGTATTTGCTATTAAGTTAATCACGTAACTTAAACAAAATCATTTTGTGTATTTGCAGGACGCTTCAGCAAACATGAATTGTGACCAGATTCGTCGAGCAGGAACAGGACGAGCTGTGAGTACCGCCTGACCCGGCAAGGGTTCGAACCTCCGTCGCCTGGGTGGAGCAGAGTATTAGGCTTAGGAGGAAGGGTGGGGTAGGCCGTGGATTGTATGGTCGTCATTGGGAGATTACAGGGGGGGGGTCGTGACCTGGGAGATTACAAGGGGGGGGGGGGGGGTGTCGTGACATGGGAGATTACAGTGGGGGAAGTGTGTGGCTTAGTTCATTTTCATCCCATAGTTCATCTTAGTTTACCTTGGAACTTGACCAGCCAAGCTGTTTACAACCAGGTTGCAAATTCCTGTTCTGGAAAACAATTAAGGATCGGTGTC